CCCAAGTCCCTGGGCACTGCCTGGAAGCCGTGCTGTTGTTGCTGGCCCTCCTGCTCCTCTCAGGTCCTGCCTGCGGCATCCAAGGTAAGACCCAGCCTCTGCCAGCCTCTCCCTACCCATCCCAGCCCCTCCCGTCCCAGCCCAGCACGCAGCCCTGGCCTCCACACCTGCCCGCTGCAGCGCTGGACCAGACGTTTGAAGCGGCGGGCTCGGGCCCAGGAGCTGTGCTGCTGCCTCCCCTCCTGCTCCCTCTCTCCTGATACACACCGTCCTCCGGAGACGCAGGGCCCAGGCGGCTCCTACCCCTACATCAGGGGGGAGGAGCGGGGGAGACCCAGGCCATTGGTTCTTCGTGGGGATAATGGGCCTCAGCAAGGGGTGAGTAAGACCTGGGGCCCTTGTATGTGTCCCTGGATGAGCCGACTCCGCGATGCTTCTCCGAGGACGGGTTCAAATCCCCGGAGCTGGTAGAGCAGGCCCTGCCTCCCATCTCTGCTTCCTCCAGACATCACCCTTGCGCCCTCCCACCCACCCCCCCCCCCCCCCGTGGCCTGGCTTGAGTGTCACACCCAGGGCCAGGATGTTGGAGGGGGAGGGAATGACACAGGCTGTGGGGGACGGGGGCAAGTCCCTACTGAGGCTTCTGAACAGGGCTTGAAGTCCCCAAGGACCATCCCCACGGTGTCAGGATGGCAACATCTGGAGGATCCCCTCTCTGGGGTTTGTCTGGCTGCCTTAGGGCCCCTGGGTAGTAAGCAGCAGAAACCCGCTCAGGCTAGGAAGACCACCAGCGTCTCCCCCGGTTCGTCACCTGCAGCTCTGTCTCCCCCACTGCTCCTTTGCTCTGTCCTCTAGGGCCGTCTCCCCGACAGGCCCCATCCTGACCTCGCCCACTAGCTTCCGCTTCCAGGGGCCTCTCCTTTTCCTGCAGCACCCAAGGTGTCTTGGGGCAGGCTTGCCAAATTCAGCAAATAAAACTAGAGTACACACAGTTACATTTGAATTTCAGATACACACACATTCTTCTTAGTTTATGTATGACTCATGCAATATTTGGGATATACTTATACTAAAAAAAGGTATTTGGACATAATTATACTTTTTAAAAATGCAATGCTTGATATGTACTTACACTAAAAATCACTTGCTGTTCCTCTGAAATTCAAATTTAACTGGATGTTCTTCATATTATCTGGCCACCTACTTGGGGTGTGTCTTGCATGTAAGAGCAGGAAGCAGCTGGCTCCAGAGTGGACTAGAGCCTGGCTGGAGCCATCAGGCCACCTCTCCATTTCTTCTGCTGTTCTTGGTTCAAGGGTGTTCCCCTCCCACTAAGGGGACACGGCTGCCCCAGGACTCCTTACGCACACATGACAATACCAGGCCCACTCAGAGCCTGACTTGCCCATCTCTGGCCCTGAGAATGAGGGCCCAGCTTGGGTCACGGTCCACCTCTGGTCCACTGGGCTTAGGTGAGGGGGGAGGGTCTCAATGTGGCTGCTTCCCCCTCACTCCAGGTGGAGTTGGGGAGGGGCTGAGAGAGGGGACAGTGTGAGCTGGGCAGACTCTAGGGAAGATGCAGCCCCAGGAGGAGGGCCGCAGTGGGGAAGCTGCCCCACCGTCTTAAAGAATGTTTTCCCACTGGTGCAGCAGCAGGTCACTGGCCAGAGCACCCTCGGCTGCGGTCTCTGCCCCAGCCACCTCACAGCTATCCACCCTGGCCACTAGGACACGTGGGAACAGACTCAGAAGCAGCCAGAGGACCCACAGTATGACCACACCTGGAGCCACATCTGGACTCCTTAGGGACTGAGGGGGAGGGAGGTGTCCCAAAGAGGTCTTCACCTCTTTTTGGAGGGGGTGGCCATGGCTGCTGGTCTGAGGACAGGCGAGAAAGCCCCTGTGTGGGAGACAGAAGGGCGCCTCCTGAATCAGAAAAAGCCCCAGCGGGGCAGCCCCAGTGCTGGAGAATTGACACATGAGGGAAAGAACTGACCGCTCCCTGGGGTTGCCCCAGGTGACAGTCCAGACAGCACTGGGTAGATGGCAGGAAGGACTTCCTAGCGCAGGGCCGGCCCAGCTGGGAGGCGGGATGGAGTGGAGGCGTCGGGGAAGGGAAGGACCGGCCGTTGAGTCCGCCTCCCTCCCAGCCTCCAGCTGAGGTGGGGTCGCAGCGGCTCCCGCGGTACGGAGCGCCCCCGGCGGCAAAGCGCAGGAGTTCCTGCTGTGGACGGGCGAGCGCATCCCCGCGGTGGCCGGCAGCGCGCGCGCCTGCATCCGGCCCCTGCGCTGGACCCCCAGCAGGGGGCGCGAGGCCAGGTTCGGGCGCCCCGCGGGCAGGCGGTTCAGCGCGCAGCCTCCAGCCGCTGGGCAGCAGCTCGTGTCCGCCAAGAGCCAGCGCGGGCTCTTGTGCCTCTCGGGCATCGGCTTGAAGTAGGGACTTGCCCCGGAGCAGCCGTCCACCCAGGGGCCCTCCGCGGTGACCGCGCAGCCGACGGCCCACGCGGGGAAGGAGGTCTCAGCGGAGTCGGAGTCGCCTGCGGCGTCCGGGGCGGGCCCTGCGCGGCTCTGAGCCGGTCCAGGGTCCCGGGGCGCGGCCTCCTGCAGCCAGGTGCGCTGGCTCAGCGGCGGGACCTGAGACTCGGTACCCTGTGCTGGTACCAACCGGCAAGGCCAGAGTGACCCTGAATGCCCGACCGTGTTAAATAAAGGTTCTGCACACACGTGGGCCCGCGTGGTCCTTGTCACCGAGGGGAGTGGGCCCGGGCACCCTCAGCTCAGGGGCCCCCGGCCGTGCACTAGGAGAGAATTGCATCACGAGGGCCCAATGTCCTGAGAACAGGGGCAGCGTCTCCACCACCGCCTGTCGCCTGGTGCCCAGGAGGGCTGGGCTTGGAGGCTGTGCTCAGTGTTTGTCTGGGAGCCATGAAGGAAATCCCAGAACTGTGTCACAAGGAAGGATGCGCTGGGCCAGGGACTGTGCTTCATCCACTAGTCTGCAAACAGCCCATGATCTGGCCCATGCCCTCACCTCCCTTTCCACCTCCCCTTCCTCCTCCTCTTCCCACTCTCCTCTCCCTCCTCCTCTCATCCTATTCGATCCTGTCAGAGTCACTGACTGCTGTGGTGATCAGTGCTGTCTCTCTTCAAGTCACTGTCCCATTTCTGACAGTCCTTGAGAGGCAGGTGTCCCCTGGCAGCTGCCAGCCCCAAGAAAGGTGGGTGCCTGAGAAAGAGGTCAAGAATCTCTAGTACTGAAAACAGATTCCCTTTTAGGAGGCCAGGGGCAGGAAAGGAATTACGCACCAGACCTGGCCCTGGGCTTCCCAGAGCAGCTGCGAAGGTGGGACAAGAGGCCCCTGTCCACCCGTGGCTTTTCCTCCACACAAGGAGAAAGGAGCCCCCCGAAAGCAGCCTCAGATGGCTGGTCAAGAGTTGCCACCTGCGTGCGCTCTACAAACACCTGGGCTCTTGTTATCAGCACGTGAACAGGCAGGTCTGAAAACACCACAATTTTGAAGGAGTGACTAGTGTAGATTTCAAGATTCTGGGACAACTGAAGTGTAATTGATCCGACAAGGTCACAGGCGCTGTCAATGGGATGTTGGAGGTCACATGTATACTTGAAGGAAATATAAAGTCCAGGGGCAGACGAGGAAAATGAAGACAATGTTTTCCCCATCCAAGTTCACAGATTCCAAGAAATTTTCCCACAGACTCCAGGTTAAGAACCACAAGTGGCTCTCAACCAGGCTTTAAAACTGAACTAAAAGTAGAGAGGAGAGAAATGCAGAGAGATGAGGATGGGTGTAGAAACCTTTGCCTCGGTCTGAGGTTCCGACCCAGACTTTGCAGCCAGACCACGTCACACTGAACCCCAATCCTGCCACTTCCTGCTGTATGACCTAGGCCAAGTCACTGTGCTCCCTGTGCCTCAGTTTCCTGCTTTTGCAAATGGGGATCCTGGCAGCCCTGTCCTCGTGGGGCTACTGTGAGCAGGGGTTCAGGGGACAGGCTGCACTTGGCAGGATCCCTGAGAGTTTGGCTGTCGCAGTTACCCGACGCTTGTGTGCTCGTGTCGCAGTGTACAGTGTGTTTCTTCCAGGAGGTTGTGACCCAATGTTTGGAGCCTGGTCCCTGGAAGACTCAGGGACTCAGACCTTGGCTAGTGCTCCTGGGAGATTCCAGGTGTGGGATGGGGTACACAGAACGTGCAAGGTCTGGGGCTACATTTGTTTCCCGATGCTTCTATAACAAATTCGCGCACATGGAGGGAGGCGGTCCGTGGCTATCTCTGGCTCTGGCCTTGGCCCATGTTGACCCCTCCCCTGGGATGCCCTGCTCCCCTGTCTCCACCTGTCCACTTCTCACTCAGCTTTTAGGACTTAGTCAGACGTGGCCTCCTCCAGGAAGGCTTCCCTGAGGCACACCCCACCTCCCCACCTCTGGGCAGGTGCCTCTGCAAACGCCTTGCCTGTGTCCCCATCAGTGCAGACGCCACAACCAACAGTCACCGTCTGCTTCTGTATCTGACCCCAGGGGTGCCCTTCAGCTTTATACCTGGCCTCTTCTTTTTTACACCCTCAGTGCCCAGGAGAGCCTGGTGTGGGTGAGGCCTTGACAAATGTGTGCTGAGTGAGTGAGGGAGTGACTGACTGAATGAATGAATGAATGAGTGACTTCCCTGAGACCCCTTGCACACTCCGGGAAGTCTGGAGCAGAGCATGGGCTGGCAAAGGCCAGCTGGATGGGCTTGGGGTAGGGATTTGGTGCCAGGGCATCCTCAGAGCCCAGAATCATCAAAGACTGTGAGGTCGGCCCAAGGTCTGCACAGGCAGATCCCTCATCCTCGGCAGAATCGCGGAGGCCTGTGGTGTCAGACCCACCTCCTGCCTCATCCTGCACTCAGATCACTGCGCTCAGCCCCGGAGCCTCACCCTCCACAGGCTCAGAAGGTTTGGGTTGTACCCCAGACCCAAGGACCACGCCTGGACACACTGTTCCTGCAGAAGCTTCATTTATTGGCGGATTCTTATTCAGGACCCGACTCAGACACCCTAGTGCCATCAGCCCAACACCAGTGAGACTGGCTCAGCAGAGTGACCTGTGCCCCATCCCTGGGGACCCAGAGGCACTCATTTCTCTGGCTGTGGGTTTGCCCTTGCTTGTGCATTGGTCAACCCCGAGACCCGAGGCTCCTCCCACTGAAAGCCGATGCTCGTGAGGCCGAGGAGCTTATGGTGGCCAAAGACTCCCGTGAGCACCTGCCACTGCTGGTCTGGGTAGGCAGAGAAGGTGTTGCCCTCTGCCTGCCCAAATGAGGCCAAGCGCCCTTGGTCGGTGTGTACGACCAGGTACCGGAGGTAACCCTTGTACGAGCCGTGGACGGCTATAATGTGTTCGCCTGGCCGCAGCAGGAATTCCTGGACCTTCCCGCCTTCTTCACCGTGTCTTACAGTCCAGGAGGATCCACGTCTCAGCTGGATGCTGGGAGAAAGGGGGACGTTTGGACACCCGGGACCCAGGAGACTCACCAATCCCCATGTCCTCTGTCTCCAAGCCACCCATCCCCAGCCACCAGAGCTCAGGGCTGTCACTGCAGCATGAGTCCCTAAGCACATGAATCTGGGTGCTGATACAGACATGCTGGGCTCAAACCCCTGCTCTGCCACCTTCACGCTCTGTGATCTTGGGTTTGTTACCCAGCCTCTCTGGGCCTCAGTTTCCTCATCTGCCAAATGGGAGTGACTGTTGGAGCACTCAGGATCATCCAAAAGGAGAGCCGGATCCAGTGCCCAGTCACCGTGACCCTCAGGAGTGCCAGTCGCTGTCATCTCTCCACCCTGGGAACTGTCCCTGGGCCAGCTTGGACTTTCTGAGCCCGAGTCAAGCTGCCCAGGTCACAGGCCTGAGAAGCAGGTGACTCCCCACACTCACCTTGGGAGTCCCACTAGCTCTGCCCATCTGGCCTTCTCTGTGTCCTTGCCCCACTTTGGGGCCTCTCCCGTGGCCTCCCCTCTTCACCTCACCCGGCACACACTCTGACCCTTTGGTGCTGGCTGCTCTGCCCCATTCCCTCTCCCAGGTCCCCGGGACCCTGTCAGTGCAGAGCCAAGACCTGCCCCAGGCCTTGAGCAAGGACACCACCCGACATTAGGGGAGCAGCCCTGGGCTTTGTGCCTCTACACACTTGTGCTGACTTGTGTTCAGTCAGTGGTCCACTCTGACCCTCACTTCCTTTCCTCTCTGACCTAACCTGGACTGATAGTTCTGGTGTGTGGGAGAGGAGGCGGCTGAGGAAAGGGGACAAAGGGAAAGGTGATGGCTGGTGGCTCCATGTTTCCAAGGACCCAACTGGCCTCAAAATGTCATCAATACCCAGCGAGGATGTTGGGAGAAGAGGCCCTAAGCCCCCTCCCAACATTCCCAAGACTTGTCATGAGTGGGACACAGCCATAGAGCTCATGGCCCAGCTCCGACTCACTTCTTAATCAGGCCCAAGGCAGGCGCTACAGACACCCGAATCCCGGTGACGTCGTTGTGATAGTCTGGAGCGGTACTGAAATACTTGCCTCCTCCAAGCCCATAAGTCTCTAGATGATGAAAGAAGCAGGTGAGAGAAAATAAACCACACTGTCTCATGCAGGCTATCTCTCCCTGAACTGGATACAGCCCCTCCAGGCAGGTGGGACAGTCCTGAGACTACAGTTAGACTGTGGTCAGGGCAGGGCCCAGACCCTGGGTCTCCGGCATGCAGAGAGGGGAGGGTGGCCACCAGATGGATGGGCTGGAGGGGGCTGACCCAGCCGGACTTACGCTCTGCCCAGCAGGTGGTGCTCCACAGGAGGGCGAGGGTCAGCCACAGCAGCATGGCTTCTGGCTGGAGGGTCCCAAGGCTCCTGCCGAGAGGACGACAGCCCACCCGACTCTCAGAGAGGGATTCCGCCCAACCTCGATGGCCCCATCCATGAGAGGGGAGCCCCATCTTACCTGGACAGGAGAGTCTTATTATCTCGTGCTGGCACTGGGGAGTCTGGTTGTGCCTGGACACCCTCCGCCCTGCCCTTTATAGTCTCCTGCACCCTGTGGGCGCCCATCCAGAAGGAAGGAGCAAGGGGCACAAGGGACACAGGAAGGAACTGGAAGGTGATGCCTCTTCCTGGGGGAGGCTCCCGGACATGCTGTGTTTGTTATCTTGGCCCCATGGCCTACACAAATAAGATGGGACAGTGGCAGACATTTCACTGTCACTTCTGGGTCTCTCTCCTCAGCACCTGGACTAGATCTTGGTCTCAGAGATGGGGGAACTTTGCTGAGAGCCCTTCCAAGCTCGGCCAGACAGGTCAACACCATGAGGGAGCTGTAAGTCACATGCCCATGGAAGCTTTGTGGGCCCCAGGGCTCCTGCCTTGAGAGAAAGAGGGGCAGGACCTCATTGGGGTCTGGGCAGAGCCTAGTGTCCCACGGGCTTGCAGGAGCCCAGGGCAGATCCCCACTGACCCTCAGAGAGGCAGAGTGGGCAATGCAGTCCAACGTGCCAGGCACTAAGTGGAAAAGACACCCCAGGTGGTGGCCCTCGGTGGTTGTCACTTGGAGATGTCAGTGGCCTTCCCTCTGCGCCAGGTCAGGTCATAGCTGAGGATGACCAGCTCCAGTCTGTGGGATGACTGGACAGCAATGGTGCTGAGACAGGAGGCACAGAGGAAGGGGAGAGGGCGATTCTCCAGGCCAGTCCTTCCCAGAGCGCCTGGGGCCAGGCCGTGATCAGACTTTATCTGGGAGGTGACAGGCTGCTTCTCAGGGGCTCCATCCTGCGGGCCCTGCTGGTGGGGCATATCCAGGCTTTCTGTGTTGGGCTGGAGGTAAGGCTGTCCACAGGCCCTTCCTGACCTTTGGGAAGAACCACAGCGTCACAATCATCACAGTAGGGGAAGATTGTGAGTGTCGACACTGGAGCCAGTTCAGGGCACAATCCCATCTTCCCTACTGATGAGGCAAGTGATCTTGGGAGCCTGCATCACCTCTGTGCACTTTGATTGTTTCATCTAACATATAGGGTAACGGTAGAACCTAGTCCTGGGGTGTTATGGAAATTCAGTGCAACCCTTCTCCATCTAAGGACCTGGACACCTAAGACTTTGTTCCCTGTGGGCAGGTCTACAAGGCTATTACTTGCAGCATCCTTTGAAATAGCTGGAGCCTAGAAACAACAGACCTGTCCATCTAGAGGGAACCTATTACCTAAATGATGGTCATCACTGCAGTGGAATACTACACAGGTGTGAAGAAAGGATGCCACAACCTGCTGCTCTGGTACATTGCCCAAGGAGACAGGCCCAGTGTAGACTGGAGGGTTTAGAATGCCCCCATTTGGTTACAAGAGAAAAGGAGTGCACAGGAGGGCCGCGTGTGTGCAGACTCACCCCGGAAGTGCTGGCTCACCAGGAACTGGGAACCTTGGTCTCATTAGGATGGCAGTGCTGGGAGGACTCGGGGTGAGTGGAGGCCCTGCATAGCTGGCACCTCCATTACCTGTACCGGGTACCTAGGCCAGAGCTCAGCAAACTATGGCCAGCAGGCCTTTTTGGGTCCTCCATCTGTTTTTGCTCAGCCTAGGAGCTAAGAACACTTCCTACATTTTTCAAATGTTAGGAAAAATTCAAAGAAGAATAGCATTTTGTGACACAGGAGGATGCTATGAAATCCAGTGCCATTGCCCATAAATAAGTGTTCTGGGTGCAGCCACGCCCATGTCTTCTGGGGCTGCTCTCAGGCTGCAAGGACAGAGCTGAGTAGCTGTGACAGATTCTATGGCCCAGGAAACCTAAAATGTGTGCTCTAGCCCTTCAGCCACAAGTCAGCTGCTCTCTGTTGGGTGCCTGTTCCCTTCCCTGGCACAGACGCAGCCCTGTCCATGGTGGGCGGGGTGAGGGCGCTCCATTGAGCAACCAGCCTTTCAGGGAGACCAGAGCAGAGAGGCGCTTGGTCCTGACAACCGTGCCTTTCCTCCTGGCCCTGCACTGGCCTCCCTGGAGAGGCTCCTTAGAGCCCAGGCCCCCGCTGACTCTTGTTGCAAAAGTGAGGGCCCCCTCCTGTCCTCCCGATGCTCCTCGGCCCTCCCAGCAGCCCTCAGGCCCCCAAATGCAGCAGAGGTTGGGCCAGGGAGGCGCAACAGCTGGCAGGCCTGCAGAGGGGCAGCAGCTCCCCTCTTGAGGACCCAGGACCCTCCTGTGGGGAGGAGGCCAAGAGACCCAGACCTCACAAGCACAGCTCTGGAGAAAGGGAACAGGCCGCTCAAAGGGGGCCATATTCCTGTCCCAGCCCAGCCTCAGGGCACGAGTGTGGCTACTGCTGCCAATTCACGTGCCTTCTCTCCAGCTCCAAGCTGACAGGGTTTGGCGCCCAGAAGGAGGATCTCTCTGTGCCAGTACTCCAGGAAGCGGCATGTGGGTAGGAGTTTGAGGAGAAGACAGTTGCCAGCCTGGACAGCAAGGAAGAGGGGACGTCCACGATGGCATACACGAGGCTCATTTTCATAGAGAGCACAAGGACAGTGTCCACGGATTCACATGCACACATGTGGGCTGGAAATGCACGTGTGCACCACATGCTCACACACATGTGCACCCTGAGACACACACCTGCCTAGCTATCCCTACACAGCAGTTTACACAACCCCAAGGCAACAGGCATACGCTCATGCACTCTTGTGGAGGAGGCACTGATCCAGGGGAAGCCCTGCCCCCTCATCCACCCTGGCCCAGTGCTGGCCCTGGAGTCTGCTCCAGAGACTCAACACAGGCCCTTTGTCCCTCGGGATCAGGGCTCCCCACAAGGGGATGTACTGAGCATTTACAAGGCCCTAATCCCCTCCGCAGCTGTGCTCCAGACCTCACTCTACCAGGAGGGGAACAATGGGGCCTTGTCCTCACAGCAGAGGCAGGCCCCAGGCTGGCTGGCTGGTTTGTCCGGGTTGGGTCAGGGCTGGCACCCCTGGTCTCCCTGCTCTCTGGGTGGGGGGCTCGGGGAGCCCTCTCTGTGCTCTGTAGGCTGAGGCACAGCACACAAGAAGGCCTCCATCCCCAGCCCACTCGCTGCTGGCCAGGGTCTCCCTGCAGCCCTCTGGGAGAAGCCCCAGCCTGGCTTGGAGGCTGAAAACTGTGTCCCTGGCTGGAGTCTTGGGGCAGGTCTGGCCTGGCTGAGACTCCAGGGCCAAGTCGGGGAGCTGGCTCCGCCGCGTGACCTTATCTCATTCCTTGGGCCCAGGAGTCAGAGGGAAGATCCTGCTCGCTGGGGGAGGGGCATGATCTGAAGGGAAAGGGCATTTTTGTACCTGACCCAGGTGAAGCCCAGAGAGGCCCTGTATGCCCGGGCTGGCCCTTGAGTGGCTGCAGCCAGGCCAGGAGGCCCATGCTGAGGGGCAATTCGGCTTTGCATTTCAGAAACTCTCCACTCCTGTGCCCCATTTGCTCTCTCCCTCATTCAGATTCCTACTGGTGCCACACTCTAAGCCAAGCATTTTTCCAACACTCTTCCCCAGAGAAACTCAATACTTTGATTGGAAAACTAGAACAATGAACAACACGTTTTGTCTAACCTTTATGTCATTAAATTTCCCTTAGTGCAAGTGTTGAAAACAAAATGAATTGTACCCCGGTGCCTGATTGATGGAGGCAGGAATCCCAGGACCCTGTCCCCTGAGGCTCCCAGGCACACGTGTCTGTTGCCTGGGGCATTAGTCAGCTTTGGCTGTGACAACAAACCCCACAGACTCGGGGCTTACAGAAAGGAGATTTATTTCTCATAATTCCAGAGGCTAAGCAGTCAAGCTCAAGGTGCCAACAGAGGTGGTTTTGGTGAGGGCTCTCTTCCTGGTGACAGATGGCGCATTCCCACAGTGTCCTCAGAGGGACTGGTCTCCTCCTCTTCCTACAAGGACGCTAATCCCACCACGAGGCATCATTCTATGATGTCACTGAAACCTAATCACCCCCAAAGGACCCACCTCCAAATCCCATCACACTGGGGGTTATAAATGTTGCGGGGATGCAGGCATTCTGTCCGTTACACTAGTCAGCACCCTCCCGAGCCACCCCTGGGCCTGGTTCCTATCTGGCACCTCAGCCCCTCCCACCTCTCCTGACCTTCACTCCTGGGGCCCCGGAAACTGCCTGTCATTGGGGCAGACCCCACACTGCTTCTGCTGGCAAGCTCACACTTCCTTGCTTGGGACCATCCCCTGCTGAATGAAGTAATGCGTGTCACGGCTAGCACTCTGCCTGCCCCCGTACACTCGTTATTATTGACCTGAGGGTCTGATCCATTACAGACATTCTGACTCTGCTCTTCAATGCACATCCCTTACTGCTCTGAGCCTCGGTTTCTTCCCCTGTAAATGGACCCCTAGCAGACCCCACTGCATGAGGTTGGTGAGGGAGGATTGGGACTCTGTGCAGGTCATTAGCAATCTTTTTGGGAGGAGGGTTCCGTATTGAGGACTGGCCCAGACGGACCTCCCCCTCCTTTTCAGCGGCAGGCTCTAAATGGTCTTGGTGCTGGGACCACATCAAACTGCTTTTCAATAAGATGCTCATCTCCTTCCCAGGAATGGTCAAGACCTACCTGTGTGGACTGCAGAGAACAGGAGCCCTGTGCGGGTGATACTGGATTGGAGGCCACCTCCTGACTGTGGCCCCCACAGCGAACCAACACCACCTGCACTGCACCCGTGCTGAGGGCTCAGAGCCTTCCAGACCACAGCTCCACGCTAAAGGCACAGGGTCCAGATGGACCAAGATGGCAGAAGCTGAGTACAGACTCGGGCGAATTATCTTTCAAATTAAATTTCAAATTTCAATGGACGTTCCTCCCAACATTTCACTATGAAACTTTTCAAACTTATTTCAGAGGTGAAAGATGTTTACAACGAATACTCATATACCTACCGCCTCTCCAAGTTCTGGCATTGCGTTGTGTCAGTGTCAATGGGCATCTGTCCATCTAACCAATCATGCATCCATCAACCCATCCCATTCTTGATGCATTTCAACATAAGGTGCAGACATCAGCACACTGCCCCTCAGACACTGCAGCTTGTGCATCGTTGAGTAGATGGGTTAACTGTGGTTTTTTTCCACCTCAAAGTACAATTTGCGTACAATGCAATCTTAAATCTGGAAGTGCATCCTCACAGGGTTTGATAGACGCACATGCCTGTGGAACCCAGACTCCTTTCCAGATACAGAGCACACACGACCCTGCCCCCAGAAAGCTCCTTCCTGCTCCCTCCCAGGGAATCTCCGCCCTCCCACCTCCAGGCAGCCACTGCTCACAGCAGACATTCTTAACCATGGGACAATGTAGGGAGAACAGAGTTTGTAAGTCGTTTTAGGAAGAAAATGGATAATCAAATTAATCTAACCAAGAGACGAGTCAACGTAAAGAGTCAACGTAAAGAGCTTTTGTGGTGGATTTAATTTACTTAAATACGGAACAAATAAACATCTGTGGGAATCCTGGTTACAGAGTAAAATAGAACAGTTAGAAAAACTAACCACATCCAAACAATTATGTAACTCACCGAAACTGGGAGTGGAGGACATTCGTTTCCCAGGGCTGCTGCAACAAATGACCACAAACCTGGCTTCAAACAACAGAAATGTATTCTCCCCCAGCTCTGGAGC